CGATCCCGGGCACCGGGCGGGTGGCTGCTGCTGTGTTGGGTGTTTTTTTTCCGAAGGACGATCCATTGTCAGATTTTTTTGTTTTGTTTTTATGTTTTTTTTTGTTTTAAAATGAACAAGCTGTACATCGGAAACCTCAGCGAGAACGTCAGCCCTCCGGATTTAGAAAGTCTCTTCAAGGAGTCGAAGATCCCTTTCACCGGTCAGTTTCTGGTCAAGACTGGATACGCGTTTGTGGACTGCCCGGATGAGAACTGGGCGATGAAGGCCATCGATGCCCTCTCAGGTAAATGGATCTGCGGGGTGGGTGGCTGGCTGGGGAGGAGAGGGCAGAGTGCTGAGGGTGATCGGTAAGCAGCGTCAACTTCGCTGACCTGTGGCCGGGGAGGCTCGCTCGTATCGCAACCTGGGCACAGTTGGCCAGTCGGGGGGCACAGATCCTGCCATTACTTTTGCCACCGCGATCCCACCCTTTAGAAGATCGTGTCACAAGTTCTGCTGAAGTGACAGCGCGTGTGTGTGGGGTGGCTGTTACACAACCCCATGCCAGCTCTGCCCTGGGCACATCGCTGCTTGCCCAAAGAGTACATCGCAGGCAGGTGACTTTGCATGTCTTACACTACATGTTTTGTCTAAAAACCTCGTAGTTGTGAGGAAACCGGAAGTAATGCGGTCCCACAACTCGATAAGTTCGTAGTTTTGATCGATCACCGGCTTCCCGATCATTATTTTAGATACATTGTATGTCCTTTGTAACCCCCCCCCCGACTGATACATTATTCAGGGGTTGGGTGTCGGTAGAGGCTGCAGAACTACACCTTCCTTCCTCTGCTACATAGAAACGTGTTGAATGCAGCAGGAGGGGAAGTGAATGGGGGAGGAGGAGGTAAGTAGGCCTGTGCAGGTCACCCATTCATTCATTTCCACCATAACATGGCTTTTTATTTATTGCTCTGTTTTTGTTTTTTTTGTCTCTTGCAGGGAAAGTGGAGCTGCATGGCAAAGTTATAGAAGTTGAGCATTCAGTCCCCAAAAGGCAGAGGTAATGGATCTGAAAATATTTTGCCAAATGAAGAGCTGGGGTGTAGATTTTATTTTTCAACATTGTATTCTGCTGCTAAAACAAAGCTGTGATGTTTTTTTTTGAATACTCCATTTATTTACCATTTCAGATTTGTTGATGATTTCTATTATTTGAGAGGTGTGGAAGTGAAGACTTTTCACTGGTGTGATTGCGGGATTTATTTAAAAAATAAAAAATAAATATATGGTAGGTCTGCGCTGTACTGAGTGTTAAAGCACATGTTGTGTTTTTTTTGGCACTGACATGTGATCTCAATCTTATACATTTTGCTTAGTTAAAACGTCAGGCTGAGGATCTTTTATTTATAAAAAAAAAAAAAAAAGTGACGTATTTTCTCCAATTTGATCCAAGTCACGTGGTTGAAAACAAAGCTCTTGATCCGTGTGTCGAGCTGTGTGAATAGAGGACCAGGTTTTCAAGGATTTCTAACATGTTTGTAATTTATATAATTTTTTAATTTTTCCTTCTGTTTAATGCTTTACTGGGCCCCTCCCTTTTTTTTTTACCACTTTTTTTTTTAATTTGTGGCCAACGCATTTAAATAAAACTGAGTGGTTTACTTTTAAATGCAAATGTGTGCGTTTTGCACTTCAAAAGTTGCAGCCCAGGAGCAGATAAATGGGATTATTTTTCCACCCTCCCCTCCTCCTTCTGTGCATGCTGTGCATGTTGTTTGCCTGTGGTCTCTTTTGCATGATCATTGGGCCTCACACAGAACCTGCTGCCATTTTTGAGGCCCAATTGGGGATCCTCCTATTGTAACTTCAGTGAATGTATTTTTACGACACCCTCCACTAGAGCACATGGAGGAAAATTCAGAGGGGCCAGGCCTACTCAAAGTAAAAAAAAAAAAAAAAGTGGCGAGTAAGCTGATGCATATGTTTTCATACGTTTTATGCTTTGGCTCCCCCTATTTTTGTGCTTCTACGTCGTGCACTATATCTGTCAATTATGCTGTTTTAACCTCAACTTTGTATTTTAGCAGGCAAATATTGTTTTGATGTCCTAATACACGTTCTGGGTGTTGGCTTGCTGCTTTAAATCTGCAATTGTCACCTTCATTTATAGAAGCTTTGCTTGTGTGGCTTTGCTTTTGGTCATTAGCTGAATTGTGGTAATTTGCCATAATTGATATTAAGATACTCAGTCGTTTTTCTCATCATAGCAGATTGTTGTTTTGAAAAAATAAAAATTGTGCTGTAAATTGCGACACTGTGGGGAAAAGTGGTGTGTAAAGTGGATTTTATTTTAAATATTGATTTATGTTCAGAGACTCTGAATGTAAATGCAATATTGTTGTATGGTATAGGGGCTAGCTATGGGCCCTGCGTAAATGTAATATTTGTTTTATGGAATAGGGCTAGTAATATGGGCCTTGTGTGAATTGTGTGCTAACTGTGAGCTCTGTGTAAATGCAATGTTGTTGTATGGTATAGGGGCCTGCTTTGGGCCCTGTATAAATGCAATATTGTATGATATAGGGGCCAGCTTTGGGCCCTGTGTAAATGCAATATTATTGTATGTTATATGGGCTAACTATGGGCCCTGTGTAAATGCAATTTTTTTTTAATGTATAGGGGCCAGCTTTGGGCCCTGTGTAAATGCAATATTATTGTATGTTATATGGGCTAACTATGGGCCCTGTGTAAATGCAATATTATTGTATGTTATAGGGGCTAACTATTGGCCCTGCGTAAATGTAATATTTGTTTTATGGAACAGGGCTACTAATATGGGCCTTGTGTGAATTTTGTGACGTGCAGTAGATGTGGAAGTTGGGTATTGGTGTAATTTTGTTGGTGGCAAGTGAAGTGTTTCCCCCCCTCTATTTATAAAGAGTCAATTTCTTCCCATACATTATCCATGCTTGTGTTTTTGTAGAGTTAAATAAGGTGTGGGTGGTGGGTAAGGTCTTTGTTTGATGTTTGCATGGTAAATGTGTACCCAGTGAGAGCCCACCCACTCTGCTGGTATGTTGAAAATCTAAGGTTCACTTTTCAGTGAGGCCCTCCAGTCAGTCGCCATCTTCTGTTTTGTGTGTTTTTTTTCTTTGCCGTGTCCCCACCTTCCCCCTCCTATAAAGAATGGCATGGTAGCTGTTTGGGTGGGTTTTTTTTTTTCCACCCCTCCTCCTCCTCCTCTCCTGTGCTGTAGTCATGGTTGGGTAAAACCCAGTGACGGAAGATTCAAAATTTTTTTTTCTGCCCCTTCGCGCCTCTTAAAACCTTCCTGCAAGATTGAGCGTATTTCTAACTTTCTCATACTGTGCGTGTGTTTGTGAATGCACAGATCTTCCCCCTCCCCCACCACTCATTAGTTTGATTCTTTCAGAAGCAGATAAAGCTATGCATTATGGGGCAGGGAGGGGGGTTGGGAAATGGCAATCCATATCCTCCTCACGTATAGGAAAGGTCAAGAGGTGGTGTCAGTTAGGGTTGCCATAAAGTTGAGCTGAATTCAGGAGACCAATCGTTACAAAGTGTGCCTGATTTGTTATGCAAAGTAAAATTCTTAGGCCCAGCAGTCACTGCATTCCAAGCCATGTTGGGACTTTGGAGATCTGACGTGGACACTCCCACATTGCTGGAATGACCTTTATACCTGCTGTGAAAGGCAGGTTGGGAATATGGTGCTGTGGAAGGCTTATTGAAGCATTAAGACACTGCTATAGGGGGGGAAAAAAGGGGCCTTGTCAAGGTTCTCCTGATAGTGGCTGCATGGGGGAGGGGAGAGCATAGGATCATGCCTCCAGCCCAGTGTTGGTTCCTGATTACACTACTGGAGTCTCCTGAGAATTTCATAGGAATGCAGTTTTTTTTTTTGTGTGTGTGTGCTCTTTCAGATGTTTAGACGTTAATGAATCATGGATGACTATTTCAGGCCGACGTCGCGTGATCCGCTTCTGTCGAAAGCTGAAAATGCCTGTATTGGTTATATCGTGGCTCCCCTGTAGAAATTTGTGAGCAGGCTTTTTTTGTTTTGTTTAGTTTTTTCTTTCTTACTAAACAGGGGTGTATTACTGCAATATATATAAACTATGCCAACCCTTGACACAAAATCAATAGTTAATAATACACCTTGCGGCACTAATTTGGACCAGCACCCCTTAATTAATATTTGTTCATTTTAATTTTAAGCTGCTGTAAAAGTCAAACATAAATGTATCTCTTCAAGAACCAGTTAAAAAAGCTTAAAATGAAACCTCTCTTGTGGGTAACATTGTTTAAAAAATAAACACATTTAGTCATGGATCCATCTCCCAAGAGATATACAGATAAATGGAGTATTTTTGTTTTGTGAGTGTTTTTTCACACCCAGCCTGTTAATTATCTTTTGTCTGTGCCTTATGTACTACCAAACAAAATACAGCTTGGGACTCCTCATTTCCTGTTTGTCCGTTTTTTGTATATGACCTTTCCGGTGACATGTTTTTAGAGAGAACACAGTAGTGTGCATTCCACAAGCAGGACCGTTCATAGAATACACCTTAGTCTGTTAGTAGTTACACACCATGTATGATGTAAGCTTGTGTGCTATAGGAACAATCTGTAGGGGCGTAGCCATCCACAGTGAGCTGCATACATACATGAATGCATGAACAGAGGTGGTTTGGCAGCTAGTGTGGGTGTTTTTCTGTAAGTTGAACAGTATTTGTTTTCCTGTTTTGGTCCAGGCTTTGGATATTTCTCTTTAGGCTCCTTTACACCTATTTGACAACTACCTCAAGCAAGGTTTAATATAGTGGATCAAAGTATGCTAATGCAAGAAAAACCTATGCATTCCGAGATCTTGAAATCGGGATTAAATGTTCTTCCAGAAGTGATCTGATAACAGTTGATATGTAATAAAAGGCATTATGGAAGTAGAGAGTTGTCCTAGAATGCAGTAGTTGTATAAAATGAGATATTTGGCGTGCGGGTACAAGATTTATGATGTCTGGTGCTTAGGACCAGATAGTGTTCTGTAGTATAATAGTGTTCTGTAGTATAATACAGCCAAGTGTCTGAACTCACCCATGGGCATCTGTATTAAAAATATTAGACTTCTGTGTTGTCTTTTGTATAATTATGTTGTATTACACTTGTGGTGTTTTTTGTGGGCTAAAGCTTTGGATGCTCATATAAGAGTTAGAATATATTACAGAAATAGGAAAATATCACTAGCTTATGGGGACTAAAAATGTATAGCTTTTGTGGACATGATGTTTTGCAATCCACAGCTGACAATGCGCTGAGCCTCTCATCAGCCTGAAATGGCTGTTAAGATGTGAAGGACTGATTGTACTTGCCTACACAGAGAATGGTACGACCGCATCAAATATCTCGCTGTTATGGGAACATTTAAATATTAAATAAAATATTTAAACAGAAGGAAGCATGATTTATGCCTTGGGGCAAAATATTTTTTGCTTCTGTACTTGGGTCTTCATTTTATGGACTGTCCCTATATGATGTTGGGGGGTCAGGTCTTTTGCATGTAGGAATGGCAGACTGAGTCACTTATTAAGCATCCTGAGTTTGGTGCATATTGTCCCAAATGTGTGAAAAAAAGCTAAAGATATAAGCAGCCATTCATAAAAATAAAGTTGGATCTGTTGTGTAACCAATCACTGCTATACCTCAGAGAAAAATGTGGCAAAATCTCTGAGCAGATTTTATTTTATTTATGTTCCTCTCTCAAGATTTCTGACCTCAATATTCAGCCATTTTGTCCTTGCACCCAGTTCTTTTTAGCCACTGCTTTTAATGTGTCTTGTGTCTTTTCCAGTTTGATCTGTCAGACAGAAACAAATAACTGTGTAGTGGGAGGGTCTGTCTGAATGGATGCTATAGGTAGGCCCCTCAAACTACATGATTGTGGTGTATTTGGTCGACATAATCGATAAAATTGGAAATTAATAGGCATGGTTAGATTTAGGCTGCCCATACAAAGGGCTATATATTTCCAGAATTCCATTC